TAGGTCTAAATTGGTTGCAACTATCTCTTTTTGTTCTATCTTTTTTTCAACTTTTCAAGCCTCTGATACACTACTATTCTACACGATACATTTGTTATGGGCATTAGTTCTTTGGAAGTTGCTTTGTCATAACACCTTTTTATCTATATTCAGTACTAGAATCCCTGTATAGTGTTTAGAGAAACACATTTGATCTAAGGTTTCCATGATTTCCAGTTAATGAGGCATCAAATTGTAGGACTATGATTTGAAAACATCATGTTCTAATAAAACCAATCCATATGTTGCTGTTATTTTGAACTTCTGGAAAGCAATTCAATTTTTCAAAAAGGGGAAGTGACACAAAAAATGTCAGTGAAAAATTATTCCTCAATGCCTGTCTTATTTCTTTTTCAAACATCAAATAATCAATGTATTGGTGAAACAAGGGCCAATTCTAAGCGCCCAAGTTCCCATACATCTTTCAAACATTTCTTGAAATTGTCGATTCATTTTACCATGAATGTTGAACCTTGAAATCTCTTCATGTTTATAGGGCTTGCAAACTTGCTTGGCTGCTTTGTTATCATGGTATGTGTATTTTTTCCCCTTTTTTGGCATTTGAACTCCCAGCATAATTGTTTGAGTTGTGAATTTTTACGTGTGATAGGGACAAGAAGCATGACTTCAAACATTTTTTTTATTTTCCTGTACTGCCTGATTATGTTGGCACTTTGTTTTTAGCTTTCCTATTACTGGTGCTTTCTCTCTTATTTATTTAATGAGGGAACTGTTATATGAAAAACTGAAACAGCATTGATCTTTCCAGGTCTTGGACTGTTTTCTTAAGAGATCATTTTATTGTACCTCAAACAATTGTCCATGTTGATTCTAAAATGATGATTATCTGCGTGACAACCCTACAGTGTTAACTTGCCACTATTTTTATTAATTCTTGATAAAATTAGCCGGAGGACCATATGCAATTATCATGCATTTTCATGAAAAGAAAGAAGAAAAAAATTGGCTACTGCCTTATGCAACATTAGATGTAAACAGAACAATGAAATTGGGATCTTTTATTTCTTTCAGTACCTACAGTATAAGAATTATGTTATCCTCTTTTGGCAACATTACTTGTGTTCTTTTGTTATTTATTCTTCCATTCTTGTCTTTTACTACATTCGTTAAATTCCATCCTTTTTCAAAGTTCGTGTAGAATGTGCAACTGACACCTAACAAATATAGTTTCAGATGGTTTCAACCTGCGGGAGAATCATTTGTTAAAGTTCCCTTCTTTGGAGCTGTCTCGTATCTAACACTGGCAGTCTTTCCTTTCTGCATAGCATTTGCTGTTGTTTGGGCAGTTTTCCGCTCTATCTCCTTTGCCTGGATAGGTCAAGATATCCTTGTAAGACAATTTTTGTTTTTTCCCTGCTCTTCTAGCTTCAGTTCTCTTCATATGTGCATAGTCTGGAAGTTTCAGACCATAGAACACAACTACGTGACTGCCTACAGTTTTATCATTACTCTCATATATGGAAAATATGATGTTTGTTTCCCCTCTCTTAAATAGCTCCAGCACTCCACCATCATCAAGCCAATAATCTCTCTACTATTATTAATCAGTTTTTAGTTGGAAAGGTGAAAGGGAAATATCAAATCTAAATCGGGCACACTCTGATTACAGTACTTGCATATTGATGGTAACTAAATATGGAAGCACATATGGAATATGTAGTTAAATATCAGATTTTACCAGTGAAAAACTAACTTGAGGTAATTAAAGATATAACACTTCCATCATTATGGAAAGATTTCCAACGGATTTAGTTTGTTTGTCATTGTCACTTCAAGTGCTTAATTTGGTTATCTTTTCTTTATCACCTTCTCCACGTCAGTGCAAATTGATTGGAAGAGGCTCTCTAATATTTCTCTTTTTTCCTACATGAACCAGGGTATTGCTCTGATCATTACAGTTCTTCAGATCGTTCGTGTGCCAAATCTCAAGGTGATCATGAGAGAATCCATTCTTTAGTTGTTTATTTTTCCATTGCACAGTTCTAGTGTTGCCCTTTTTTGTTTTCATTGTTAGCCTTTCAAGAATATCAGGTTTGAGTTTGTGGCTGTTGTAACGATATTTGTTGTCAGTTTCTTCGGAAACTTGCTTTTAATCTTTTTCACATCTGTCTTCAACTTGGAGCTATAAATTGCAAGAAGTCATGTTCCATTAAAATCTTGGTCAAATTAAAAATCCATGATACTAAGAATTAGATGGCATATAAATTATTAGCTAATGCGAAGTACATTATGCTAGAAGATCTTGTTGTACTTGATAAAAAATAGTGAGAAATGCATTTTAACTACTATGGTTACATTATTCAAGATGCTGATTTTGATGGATATTCATTTCTTTTGGTTATTTTTTTTTTATCATGTTCAGGTTGGAACAATTCTTCTAAGTTGTGCCTTTTTGTATGACATCTTCTGGGTTTTTGTTTCGAAATGGTTGTTCAAGGAGAGTGTTATGATTGTGGTAAGTTGTGGAATGGTCCTATGATGAATTTACATCTATTAATAGAAAACGCAAATCTTCATTTTTTTCCTCTTCCCACAGGTGGCTCGTGGTGATAAGAGTGGAGAGGATGGTATACCAATGCTACTGAAAATCCCACGGATGTTTGATCCTTGGGGTGGCTATAGCATAATTGGGTTTGGTGACATCATCTTACCAGGATTGCTTGTAGCTTTTTCATTAAGGTTTGAATCTTAAGCCATGTAACTAACTTGGCTAATGACAGTTTCCCTTAATTCCCTTGAAAATGCAGGTAATTCACTTCCAAAAAAAAAAAAAAAACCTATCATTATGGTCAGCTTCCTTCATGTCATGCCTTCTTGGTTTATCTATAATGGTCATGGAATTGATAATTGTTTAGAATGATATAGTCATGATTATGCAGAACACTGATTCTTTAAATGGCATTGTCCTTTCTTCTTCTTTTTTATATGGAGTTGTAAAGCCTTGAAATTATGAGTGTCAACCAAGCCAAATGAGAATTGGAATAGGCTAGGATGCTTGGACCATGAACTATTTATTTGGCCTTTTCTTGTCATCAGACTTCTGGATATTTTTACTTCGATATGTTCCACAAAGACTCGGATTTGATATGATGTTTTAACTGTTTACAAGTTCAATGTTACTGGTCATTTTGCAGGTATGACTGGCTCGCGAAGAAGAATCTTCGAGCAGGATACTTCTTGTGGGCAATGACTGCTTATGGTTTAGGTGTGCCAAAGTTTTCACACCATTGTTGTTCATAAAATTTTAGCTCATCATATGTGTTACTCAGCATGGAAAGCTGATGGTTAAAAGCAACTGATAGAAATCATCATTGGGATGCATATATGAGCCATATTGGGCACCTGTCAAAAGAATTTTAGGGAATTATAGAATTGCATTCAATTCTATTTATGAAGAGGAAATAAAGAAAGATGACATTGAATTCCATGGCTGATACACACGCACACAATAAATTTTGATCGCACCGAAGGTCAATAAAAGCTACTCATGCATTTGTTGAAGCATATAGAGGCACTTGCAAACAGTTTTCATGCTTCAGAGGTGTTTCAAGAAGTATGATGTATTTTTGCACCCTGGATAAAAAGACAAGATGTTCATCTATTTCTGCACTATCTACTATCAGAGATTAAGGCTCCTTCGAGAGATCAAGGCCAATATCCAGTTAAATATTTGCCAGTATAAATTCTATGAGGATAGGTTGTAAAGTTTGAAAACTAAAGAGTGATTTATAGGATACAAATTTATTTGAGCAGTTTATCAAAACGAATGTTGCTTGTGATTTTATGGGTATTTTATATTCTTGTAATTCATAGCCACCATCCTCACTGTCCAAGATTTGTTAATTTGCAGGTCTCCTAGTAACATACGTAGCTTTGAACATGATGGATGGGCATGGCCAGCCAGCTTTGCTTTACATTGTTCCATTCACCCTTGGTAAGTAGCCACAACGTAACCATTGGGGAAGCCCATGGGTAACTCCCTTTTAGTGGAGAGGTTTTAGTTAGAAACAAGATTCTACAACCACCCGCTCTAAGTGGAAGTCTTGAAATTACCCCTTCCTGGCAACTATGAAACAAGACTGGCCATTGCTTGCAAGCTTTCACTTGTGCTACTTGCATGAGCACACCCTGGTTTGCAAATTCATGTATTTGGCCAGCTGAAATTAAACGACCCTAAGCAATTGCCTGCTGAACTGAAGGACCCTGAGCAATCCAAATGCCACCTCCTCCATGGAGCAGGGTGCTCAAGGCCAGCTAAGCATTTACTCAAAACCATTCCTTGACTAAATCAAACATTGACCTTTGTTAATCAAGAGTGAATATTGAAGTTAATCAAGGAATAACTTGGAGTTAAATGCTTAACTGGTCTGCTTCACCGAAAAAATATAAAAAAGAAAGGAGAAGGTAGAAGGAAGGAAAAGGAAAGAAAACCAGACAAACGGCCTTGATAAGCAGTCCCTTTAGTTCGTCTTGACTGTCAACACCATCTCCTTTGTGTATTGATTCTTTAATCGTGGACGCAGGTACCTTTTTGACGTTGGGAAAGCAAAGAGGAGATCTGAAAGCATTATGGACAATGGGAGAGCCTGAAAGGCCCTGCCGACACATGCAATTTCAACCCTCTGGATCTTAGTGATACAGGTCTTAAAGGCGCGTCATAATTACCTGTACAAGTTGTAGGAGAGCTTGTAATATCTGTTGCCATTAACTGACTGAGAACTGAAGCTAGAGTAAAATTAGTTTTGACTAATTGCAAATGATCTTTTTATCTCAGCTCGGATTCATCAGAAACTTTTACTTGCAACATCACCTTATACATGGGCGCCTGAGCCTCGTGCTGGATTCGATCGTGTGATATAGTGAAAATATAGCATTGGTTCCAGAGCCTTCAGAGGTTTTGCTTTATCCAACACCTTGCTTTCTTATTGCATCCTCGTATATGTAATCTCATTGTAATCAGGCCACACTGGGAGTATCTTATTCCAGCATATAATCCTATCCCCTCTTAGTTGTACAATTTGATGAAGCGTAAACTCAATGCAGTATAAAAGATGCAAATCTTGCAATCTGAACGACAAGGAATCATTGCTTCTTACCTGGGTAGTCCTCCCATGAAGGCTCTCTATTCTACATTTATGAATCGATACGAGGGAGATTGAAATTAAATGATTCTGATCATGCCAGACAAAGTTATCTTTTATATCTTCAATTATCACATGTGGTTGCTACTCCTTTAATTTTACCCCAAAAAAAATACAAAATAATAAGGCTAAATCACTCTATGCACACCACAATTCTGAAACCTGCTTCGAAACCCATAATGAGCTGAGGAATGCCTGCCAAATCATTGAAGGGGTATGTGTGCCTCTTAATTTCATCAAGTTCAAAAAAGAAAAGGACAACCTTTTATCAGACGGGGAAGGGAACCAATACTACTTTAACAGGAATTAACAGACATCCCCCGGTCGAGAAGAAATGGCTCATAGAATGGCATTTGCATTTTTATTCCTTCCGTAAAAGTACAAAGGTTGCACCCCTACAAACAAATTGACTCATAAAAACCACAAGCAATTCTTTTCTACTTTTCCCTTGTGAGAAAAGGAGATAAAAAGACACGGGGGGGAAACTTACATCTGAATTCACATCAATGACACTACAATCCTTTTTCTTGCCATAAGCCACCTGCATTGGCATCTGGTCAAAACTGTTCCAACCACTGGCAGCCTGAGGGAGAATCCATACTGCAGAATTCATTGTTGCCCAGGATCTGGTCCTCTCCATCCATGCAAATCATTTAAGGAGTCTTCGAGGAGCATGATGGTCATGGAGGCTCTGATGGATTAGGGTTCGGGGAATAATGCTGGCATTGTTCAATAAATCAACAGCAAGTAAACATTTTAACAGGTATGCTTTATGCACAAGCTATAAGAGGTCACGTTGTTACAACCCTAACAAATGTCACTGGACAAAACAACAAAGTCAAGACAATAATTTATAGCTATGCAGACTAAAACGACAAGATTCTCAAGGAATATAGCATAAATGAAAAGGTGGAGTGGAAATTTAAATGGAATACAGTTTAGGAAAATACTATTGTTTGAAAATTTGAAATTCCAATTCCACAAATCAAATTATATGAAGAGTAAGAAACCAAATTCTAGCATTGAAGCAAGGAACTATCAATACACAGGACATTGCAGAGAAGAAAATCATTACATGCAAGAGCAATATTATAACCGCCAGGGATAAGAGGGCATACTTCCATATCTTTTCAAATTGCCATTGCCATTAATAGATAATTGTGCTGGTCTCCTCTCTTGACCCAAAGATAGAAGCTCCTGCATCCTTTCAGGCCAATCTGAATTTAGTATCCGAGCAAAATCTTCAACCTCCCTGGGAAACGATATTATGGGATACCAGAGCAGAAAATATTAATAATCATGTCCTTGTATTAGTTAAAAATACAATCATTATCAAATACAACAAAATGAGGTCAAGACCACGTTGGGAAGGAGTGCAAGGAAGGGTGTAATATTCTTTTCAATCCACGGGTATTATCAAGGGAAATGACCACAAGTTAAAGCTCAACCATTAACATGATGTCGAACGTTTAAAAGACTTAAAGGCTGCAATATGTAATTCAGAAGCTTCCAATTATCATACAAGTGGTGTTGATCGTGATAGATATTTGAATGCCCAAATAATCGCCATGATAAATTCTCATTCACTGAATATGAAATTGCACCATCTTACTTTTAAGCAATGCTATTAAAGGCATGAAGAAATACTGATGGAAATGGTCAGTCCTGGGCCATGCAGACAAGAAGGTCATCCTTTAACTTCACATCACAATTGACGTGGAAAAAGGAAAAACTAGAAAAAGGTATCCTGTTTTTAAGATTAAAAAAAATAACCATATATGTACATATAAGCTATAAAATACATCAATAATCCACCTCCATGCTCACCTATCAATTTCTTCTTTTAAAGCTGGATCTATCTCGCTATCAATATCAACATCCTCAAACTCCACTGTGGGAGAAAAAATTACATCTGCCGCATCTTGTAACTTTAATGTCTCTCTGAGGCTGGACTGTAATTCATGATCATGCTTGGCATTATGGCATAACAAACTAAAAACATTAGACTCCTGCAAAAATGTAACAAAACAGAAGCTTAACTATTGCCAAAACTCATTACATTTAAAAATAAGGGATGGCAACATGATAGGTCCAACCTTTTTATGCATTTCAGGGGCACACTTTTGCCGATCTTTTCTTTTTTGGTGTTTCTTTCTATTCTTGGAAGTTTTCATCCCTTTGGAATCTGAGAAGAAAAATTCCTGGTCTCAATAAGGCCTTCACGAGGATATTAAGTAGATAAAAAAAGAAGACTAAAAGCCACTAAATACAGACATAATTCTGTGTCAAAGATATTGTTATGATCCTCTATACAGGCCAAGAAATTTACAACAACAATTCATCATTTGAAACTTTAAATGCATTTATAAATAGCGTAATGCTATGTAGTCATTAAATTCTTTTCACTATCAGTTACATGAAACTGAATCTTCAACAAAAATATGATTCATAAGCCAATGCTGTGCAATGAAGAATCCTCAAATAACTAGAAATTATATGAATGATATAAATGAGCAATCAAGTCCAGGTCCCTTTAATTATATGATCAATAAAAAAAATTAAAGCAAAGCCACTGCCAAAAAACTCGAATGTTTGATGAGGAGCTGCATGCATTTCTATCAACATGTACCTCTAGAATCTAGATATATCTTTATTCGGCATGACCTGTCAAGCTCTCTCAATCCTCTTCATAATTTTTAATCATCACAATCAGACATCAGTTCCAAAAAAGAATAATTGGAGAAAGTAGATTTTTTCTTGCCCTGATTTTCTCAAACCTAGAAGTCTATTCGTTCAGTTCCGAATAGGAAATAAAGGAACAAACAGACATTTCCTAGTTTTTATTCTCTCTGACATGGCATTATCATGCAATAAAGTTCTAGAAATTTCTAGATTGAAGCACCCATCCTCTGCATTTTTTTTAGAGTAATGCTATACAAACAGACATTGCCTAGTTTTTATCCTCTAAGACATGGCATTATAACATTTTCTTGTGGAACTTAAATTCGCTGGCAGGTTTGGGGTTATGATATCAAACCTCAGCAAGCCATCATAAAGATAGAAAAAGTTTCAGGAATTAAGAGTGCAAAGTACAGTTGACCAGCACTCAAGCATACCTCCATCGCCTCCGTTGATGAATGATACGAGGTCATCAACTGAGCGGTCATCCACGTGCTCCTCTTCGGCCTCGACATTCTGCAACAAATGGAGGGCCCAAATCAATCACAAGAATTATGAAATTATATAATACTTAGGGACGAAGTCAGGAAAGAAAAAAATAAAACCTTTAGTTTCTCTCTCTCTTTCAGTTCTTTCCTCTTCTTCACATACAATCGATTTAAAAGTCGGATCCGTGGATCATCAGTTGTGTTCTTCAAAGGCTCTAGTTTCTCTTCCTAGATCATTAGAATCAAGTTAAAATCACAAGATGTAGGAGAAAGACATGCTGCACACAGTTCTTACAAGCACCAGACACCTCTGTTAGATCATCAGGCAAATGAAATATCTCACGTATCTCCTCAGGGGTTTTCCCTTCAATGATTCGTGCAAGTGCACGACTAGTAAGATCAACCAAGGGCTTTAGCTGAAGGCTTTCAGCAGCAGAAGTCAACTCACAAAGCCTCTTTGTGTCCATTCGAACAAACTTCTCATCAAAAGACTTGCGTTCCTATGCAAAAGAACAGCCTAAAGTAAGTAAAACTGTACCTGTGCCACTTCACCTTTCTAAGGCTTTTATGAACTAAAAGAACAGTTCCCTGAACATGCAAATGATTGTTTCAAGTTTTCCCATTTACCAAGTACTTTTGATATCAACTAGGTAGAGCAAGAAACGAATTTAAGGCCAACAAACAGCATATGAAATGCCAGAAATGTGAAGAAACCTTATTAGAGCGACCAGGTACTTGATGAAACCTGCAGTAATCAAGAATTAGGCTAAACATGGATGTACCAACTCTTTGTGGTAGAAATATAGCATAGTTCTTAGAAGATCCCATTCCCTTTTGTATTACTTCCTGACATATCAAGGGGCAAAACATGGCAACTTCTTGTTCCACTTGCTGAACTGCACCATCCGTGGTTTGTATCCAGGTATACGATCTCATCATCTGAAAATGGATAGCAACAGGATTTGAACCCTTCAGACAATCCCTCATTAACTTCACGAGCAGATGGTTTCAAAAGAAGAAGCTCAGATGAACAAGATGTATTTAAGTTGCAGGTGATCACAAATCAACAACAAATATCAAATTCTATGTTACAGAGAGTTGCGCGAAGGGAAAAAAAGAAAAAGAAAAAAGCAAACGCTTTTACCTCTCCATGTTTCTTACTTCTGTAATATCAGCTACAAATGCTTAAAAAGGTAAGATAGTAAAAGTCAAGTACTATCCTCATTCCAGGAAAATATGTTGCCGCCCCGCCAGAAAAGAACATCCAAATTTACATTTCCATAAACAATTAAGGGAAGGGTCTGCTTTCTACAACTCAGAAACTACCAAGCCAACGGAAAGACATAATTGCGCATAATAAATAAATAAATAAATAATACAAACCTCAGGTTTTACTACAGCCATATCAACTTCTGACATTTGGCAAACAATATCCGACAGAAGTATCTCCCTCGGCCGCAGCACAACAAGGCTGCATAAAATGCAACGCCGCGTTTTGAGGTTTCTGGGAATCTATACGAAGCTCCAAGCCTCCAACTTCTCCATCACATTGGAAGGACAGAAAGCTAAGAATGAATCTGTCACTTCTCTCAAAAACCTGCGTCAACATATACTAGACCCTAACTTAAAGAAAATGGGAATTTAATAATAAACTAATTGTTAATTAATTTCTTCGCGCTGAGAGAGATTTGGCGGTTGGCGGTTGGCTGCCAAATCCGAATTGATAATGGTGGGTGCGTGAGAGAGGTAGAGAAAGAGAGTGAGTAAGTTTTAGGTTGGGAGGGAGAATAATTAAGATAGTGACCGCGAAACTTTGCGATTTATCTGAGTGAAAGGTGCGCGCTTTGTCGCCGTCTAAGGCGTTCGCTCCGATAAAACGTCGCCGCACCCACGTACGCCGTTTCAGTATTGGTTTGGGTCGGCCCATACTAGTTTTCCTGTTTTTTCTTTTGTAATAAACTTTTGATAAATTATTTCTTTTTATAAGAACGAAAGATCATACAATTAATGCGGGTGGTGAGGAGAAGAATTCTACTGTGAATACGTGTAATGGGTATGGATAATTTAGTTAGAATTAAACTTTTTAAAAAATAAATTAATTAATAGAAGTTTTTGTTAGAACTCATAGTGTATATTATTTTGTTTTTTAAATAATTTTTTATATTAAAATATATATTAATAATAATTTTTATTTTTAAAAAATTATTTTTAACATTAATATATTAAAATAATTTAAAGACACTGAGAATATATTAATTTAAAATAAATAAATAAATAAAAATATTAAATATTTTTAAATACAAAAACCAATGGCCTGTCATAATATTGCCAGACTCGCATACTTAAATTTAAAATAAATTTTAATTTCTGCACGTTATTTATTTTTTATTAACAAATGGGAAATTTGGTAATTAGTTGCTTCCTATTTTCAGTCTTTTTTTTTAGTTTTTATAATTTAGTCTCAATCATTACTTTTCTATGCCCACCATTATCGTTTATTAATAAAATATTTTCTTGTAAAGTAAAATATTTTATGCTATTTAGATGTGACATATAAAATAAATTAAAAAATATCTTATAATATTTAATAATATTGAATTTTTAAAAAAAAAGATACAGTTCATGACTTTACAAATTTAACAACATGATAGAATCTAACAAGTATCATTGAGAATTTTTTAGAAACCTAATAAGTACTAACAGATCCATCCAAAATTCATCTTTCATGTACCTTTTAAAATACATTAAATTGAGCAACCAATACATACATCTGGACAGTGTCCAAGTTTTTTCATCTAAAAAAATATTGATGAGTATAATTGTAGTTATTTTTTAAATAATAATTTATATTAAAATATATGTTAATAATGTTTTTTATTTTTTAAAATTTACTTTTAATATCCACACATCAAAATAATTTAAAAACATTAAAAATATATTAATTTAAAATAAATAAATAAATAAAAATTAAATTAAATTTTTTAAAATACAAAAACAAACAACCTAACTTTTGAATTCACATGGATAGTCTGTGAATACAAAAAGCATTTAAAAATAGAAACAAGATTTCCAATTTTTTTTCACTGGACTCTTACAAGTTGTTAATACGAAGTGAAAATAGTAAAATATTAATCTCCTTTAATATACTGTATAATATAAACAAAAATTCAAGGCCAAGCGTAAATTTACTAAATGGGTGAATGTGTACATGCATGTTCATACATACATACATACATACATACATGTATATATGTATATGTGTGTGTGTATCAGCCTGAGAAAACTTTGAGAGTACATTAATGAAGAAAGAGAAATAATCTTAACCCTTCTTTGACATGCATGTATATATATATACACACAGATACATACACACACACAACATGGTTTACATAAATTCAAACATGTATAGCACAGGGTTGAAATTATCCATCAAATTAAACAAAGAAACAATAAATTAATTGTACAATTTGCTATGCTGGGAAAAAAAAAGTAATTTGAATAGCAGTATATTTTTTATTTTTTATTAATGTAAATATCTATCTAGTTTATATAAACCTCAATTAATTTTAAATTTTAAATAATAATGTAATAAATAAATACAATATAAGCTATATATGCATTAAAAGAATTATATGTTAGAAAAAGTTAACTAATATAATATGAATATGATTCGGAAAACATGATTATTTAAAAATAATGTGGTTGATAATTTGATTAACTTGATGTCGTAGCAAGGATTCATGTGGTTGCATCATCAATATACGCATAAAAAGTTTATTTTCCACGTGTCGAAATAACAGATATTCGATGCATTTTCAACTCGATTCTATGAGTTGATTTCCATTTTATTCACTTCTCGATACCTTTTCCGGTGATGCGAGAGGAACTTTGGCGATGGAACAGTAGCTAGCACCTCGATAACAACGGCCCGTACACGTTCCCTAATTTAAATTTCCGAAAACACCCCTCTCACCATCCTTTATTCACAAACTAACCGACGAAAGTCCACCACCATTTCCATTGCACGGAGGGGTATCTAAATAATTCTGGCAGTTTCTGTTGGGAACCCTCCTTCACGAGGATGACATGCCACGTGTCAATCTCTCGACCCTCCTCTCTGTGCTTCCAAACACCTCTCAGATTTTTTTCCGCTTTATGAAGATAAAAAAATCGCCGAGAAAAACTCTCACTCTGTTTATCCTCTCCGGACTAAAAGACCGGAGCTTGATAAGCAGAGTGACTAAATACAGTGTTGAATTTTTAAAATCCAACCTTCCTTCTTTGTGCTCTCAAATGCTATAGTTCTCTGATAACTCCGGTCAGTTAGTCAGTTAGCGGTATCTGAAGGAATGGCTATCGGTGGCTTGATTTCGAACCGAAATTTCGGTTCTCTTATAGGCTCAGGTTAGCTTACCTCCTTAACTTGACTTCTGTTTATTATATTTGCCATTTTCTGAATTCATCTTCACTTTATCTGGTTTAATTTTTCGTGGTTGTGGCATTCGGAGCTTGTAACTGCTTATTGATTGATTTATTTATTTCATGCTTTAATTTTCTTCTATGGTATGTATTAGTATTGTTTTACTGAATTAGGATTTTGGAATTGATTTTTTAATTTATTAAATTATTTTCAAACTTAGTGGAAAGGGCTGCGTAAAATTATCGAAAGAAATCGGTACATATGCATGTGTCAGTGATGAAGTTTGTCTCTACAATTTGATTTACAACTAAAATTAGTGAAAATTCTACTGTGCTTGTCAATGCAATATTTCCTTCTTTTTTTCACAATTGATTTTTTCTTTTAGGAAATTAATTTGTGTGTGAATGCAACTCTGTCCCAGATTGTTTATTAATTTATTTGTTTGGCTACGAGCTTGTTTTACTTGTTGAAGACAATGAAATGAGGAGCAAAAGTGTGTTTTGGCTTTATGTACCTTCTATCTAACTGATTTTGGAACATATTTGCCAAAAATTCTTTTAAATTAATGCATGCAGCAGTTCTCAGTCAAGTTTAAGAAACAATTGATACTAGCAATTTAGTGATATTCTTATTCGATTAATTGTCATTTTTTCCCTTTACCTTATAGTACCATCTGCTGCTTGTTTCTCTACAAATTTAAATCATGCTTATAGCTGAAATTTGATGCTAAATGCTCCTTGATAATTGACGTAATCAAAGTTCATGCAAATTATAACTGCATCATAGGGGTTGTTTCATCAGGCAAAGTCTGTCCAATAGAAAGAGCCGTTTCACGTCATAGGGGAGAGCCATCAGGCATTGCTTCTGCATAGTATGCACAGGGAAGCATCTTCTATGAAAAGTTACATTGCCAAATGGCTAATGGTTTAAGTTCTGGATTCTCATATTCCTCTTTTCTTCAAGTCACTGGTCATTTACATGAAGGTTTTTTGAAACCATTAGCAACTTATCCCCTACAAAGAAGAGAAAGGTGCAAATGTTATCTCTCTGCAGATCCCTCACTTGGCAGATGGCTTCAATCTAACAAAGGGCAACACCAGCACTACAATGATGTTAAGGCGAATGGAATCCGAACTTATTATAAATCTGAGGAGGATGACATGACTGAAGCAGCAGCTGTGGACTCCCTGAAGTCAACAGAGGGTGAGGCTGTTTTAGCATCTCATTGGTGGGAACAGTTTCCAAAGCGATGGGTCATTGTTATACTCTGTTTTACAGCATTTCTCTTATGCAACATGGACCGTGTGAGTGCTTTTAAAATTTCCTTTCTTTCTTAATGTCATGGCGGTCTGAAGTTTCTTGACCAAGTAGACATGTTACAGATTCTGTGTCAGAGATAATTCCTCCTGGAAGTTAGGTACTATTCATTTTAATTGCAAGGTGCCTCAAACTGCACTGGGCAATTCAAATTACCACTGAACTGCTTTTGAGTTAAGACGTAGTTGAGTTGAACTGTACCAGTTATTTATTGTACGTGTTGAATCTGTTATGTGAATGTGCCAACTTATTCAAATGCTAATTGTAGGTTAACATGAGCATTGCAATACTTCCTATGTCACAAGAGTTCAACTGGAACAGTGCGACGGTTGGTTTAATTCAGTCCTCATTTTTTTGGGGTTATCTACTGACTCAGGTATGCTCTGGAGATCCAACTATCTATAGATGCATTTTGACCAATTCTTCAATGCATCGGCATACACTTGTGATTACAGTTATTTTTCACTTGCTTCAAAGTATATACCTATGTCTTGACATCTCAAGAACCAGTAATTGGAAATTTTTCTCTAGTTCTTTATCTACCCTTAACTCTTCTTTATTGTGGCACATAGATTGTCGGAGGCATATGGGCAGATAAAATTGGTGGAAAGTTAGTATTGGGTTTTGGAGTGGTTTGGT